TTTTTTTTTTTTAAACATCTTCACTTCCAACAAGGCTAATTAGTGTTGGAAGTAGTAACAGAAAGAGGATGAGACTTAATTGAATGACAAGTAACACGAGAGTGAATTTTAGTAGATGGCATAAGAGATGCTAGCTGTTTAGAGCAGTGCCTATTATAGTATTTATAGAAAAGAGAAAGAGAAGCAACATTACGACGATGTGATAATGGTTGAAGGTTGGCTGCAAGAGCAGGTCCAACTATGTTTACAATGCGTTTTTGCACCTTGTCTAAAAGAGAAAGGGCATCATCAGAAGATCCGCCCCAGATATGGCAACAGTATTCCATGTAAGGGCGGATTTGAGATTTATAGAGATAGAAAATAGAATCTAGAGTAAGAAAGTTTAAAGCCAAGCTCGATAAAGAGATGCAACTTTAGCAGATGCTAATTTTGCAACAGATTTTATATATAGTTTCCAAGAAAGATCAGAAGCAAGAGTTAATCCTAGAAGATGAAGGGTAAATGACTCATCGAGTACATTACCATTCATAAATATAGGAAGGTCTAAATTATTGTGATAACAATTAGCTGAAAAATTTTGAGTTTTATTTAAATTAAAGTTCACCAGTCACTGTGAGCCCCTTGCTGTAGCAGAAATGAGATCTTTTTCAAGCTCAAATGCCCACTCTAAGCAATCAGAGAAAGTTCATCATGACAAGATTAAATGGTAGTATCATCAGAGAATATCTGGAAGATTGTAAATGTAAATTAAAAAGAGTATTGGGCCAAGGATTAAACCTTGAGGAACCCCTGAGGTTACAGAATATGAAGAAGAGTGCTGTCCATCAAGGACAACTTTTATACTACGAAAGGAAGGATTCAATAGTCTTAAAAATGCATCCAGATACACCGTAAGAAAAAAGTTTATGGAGAAGACCAGCATGCCAAACTTTATCAAACGCTTTAGAAATGTCAAGAGCAATCGCTTTAACCTCTTAACCTTTATCAAATGCACAATAAAACCTATTGGTTATTACTGTTAATAAATCAGCTGTAGAACAAGAAGATCGAAATCCATATTGATGATCAGAAAGTAAGTTATTAGATTCAAGATGAGAGATTAAGTGTTTGTTAATTAAAGATTCAAAAATCTTGCTTTTGATAGGAAGGAGACTAATGGGACGGTAGTTAGACGAATCAAATTGCTCTCCAGAATTTTTGGAAATAGGGATAACAGATGCTGCTTTCCAGCAGGCTGGAAAACAAGACTCTGATAAGCACTTGTTGAATAGTTTTGAAAGGATAGATTTGAATAGTTTTGAAAGGATAACAGGTATGTTGTCCGGGCCACAAGCTGTAGAAGAGTCTAAGCAGGAAATCACTTTAGATACAGAAACTGGAGTGATGTGAATGTCAAGCAATGGATCAACCTGTTTTAAGGCTATATCAAGTAGAACGCAACTAGTGAAATAAAGAGATGATATTGATGAAAAGTTCTTAGCAAACAATTCAGCTTTATCTTAAGATGAGGTGACAAAGTCTGACTCATACAAAGAGGTGGAATTACAGACTTGACCTTATTATTGATACTGTTAAAGATTCTCCAGAAGTCACGAGAGCCTAATAACAGTTATAGTAAAAGTCTAAAAAGATCTTGGTATTTTTATCTCAAATGATATTAATTGGAGTCACCATACATGCTATGCAATTATTAAAGGAAATAAATAAATTGGGAAGAATAAAATATGTATTTGAATACATAAATGAAAGTATTATTAGCTTATTATAAAAGTCATTTGGACCCCCCATTGGAAAGGAGAAATTAATAGACCTGTATAACTGTGTGTATAACTGTTGTATAAGCTTATTTTTATTATTCTTTGTTTTGTTTTCTGTTGATTTTTTTAGGGAAAAAACCATATGGATTTAAGTTGCAAAAAAAGTTAATAATTATATATCTATATGCAATACAGTATATATATATATATATATATATATATATATATATATATATATATATATATATATATATATATATATATATATATATATATATATATATATATATATATATATAGTTAGATATAACCTGTCTTTGGATGCACGCAAAACGGACTTTTCAGTAAATGATTTAGCCCCTTAGTAACATTGATATCAAGTCTTGGATATACATACTGAAACATTATTTCTTCAAGCGTATGTTTCTAAAATATAAAAAACATTTTTTCAATCATTTAAAACAAAGTTAATTTATAAAACATTACTGAATAAAAATGTCAAGACAAGACTTGTGGTATAACAAAAATTAAAAATATATTTGCTTGTTTTGCTGTATATATTAATAATACGCTATGTTAACAAGAAACAACATTTTCACATACATACATACAAGTATAATATATTGATAATAGAAACTGAATGCTACAAAATGCATTATATTTGCTTTTCATCTTTATATTTCATTTTTATTGCCTTTATGAACACTCCTTTTTCCCCACAATTTACTAAAATCTACTGCAAAACTAGTTTGGTTGAAAAATCAATTCTTTGAAAAAAGTAATACATTATTTATAAACTCAAAACAATGTAGCAAATGCTTTTGTCAATAAAAACTAAATGAATGTGCAAAATGTGCTTTATTTCTTATATTTGCTTTTACTGTTTTGCATGTACCAATCATTTTAATTGCTAAAAAGTCAGCAAGAAATAACTAGTTTATCAGTAACTTTGTTGTGACAAGATTCATTTAGGTTCGCAAAGTTTATTAAAATAATATTTTTACATATGGGTTAACTAGTTTTGTGCTTATTTTTGATGCAGTTTTTAGAATAAGAATTTTAAGACTACAAAGATTTATAGAATACAAAGATATCAAGTGGAAAGGAGGAATAAGAGCCTTATGGTTTAAATAGCAAAATTTCTGGCAAAAAAAATTGATTTTTGAACAACATTTAGTGATAAACAGTCTTAAACAAAACAATATATATCAAGTTAAGATATATATATGAAAAAATAGGCATAAAGAAACAGGCATTTAAAAAAATATAAATATATTTTGGTTTAAGTTTTCCACTACCTCAAAAATTACCTAATTTTCTGCCCCAACCAAAACCCTTAGTTGATATTGAAACACTCTCTTGTGTAATCTCCCTAGATAGCTAGTCCATGTATGCACTGAAGCCATAACAACTTTTTTTAATGACACCAGGTTGCTTGACTTGACACATACACACACAAAAATAGTTTTAAATGTATTTTAATAAATAGAGTGCTTACTTTTTTTAATAGAACAGAGCAATAATAAATTAGTAGAAGATCAATTATCAAATTTTTTTCATTTTCCAGTGTTTCAGGAAACTATTTCAGGAAGTTATTACTGTAATATTTACACAATTATGAAATATGTTGACACTATTATAAAAAGAATTCTTTAGAATTGTTTCCTACTGCTTTTTTTCAAAAATTTTTTCAAATTTTCAAAGGAGGTTTTACTATTATCATTTTTTAAGCTCATTTATTTTATAGTTTTTTAAGAAAAACTTATTTTTATGCATTTAAAAATCAATTCTGATTTTTTATTTAAAAAACATTCATGTTTTGCATGTGTAATTAATTCAAGTTTTTCTTGTAGAAATAATATGTATTTTTTGGAAATATTATTATGCGCAGGTGCTGTGTTAAGGATGGACCAATCTATTTTTTTCTTTTAATACATATATGTATTTTGACAACATGGTATCTTTTAAATACTTTTTATTTTGAAAAGGATTGCTTATAATTGGTAGCATTTGTTCCATTTACCCTCTGTTAATGCAATATATTGTTTATTAGGTACATTCTTAGAAACCACACATTTATATACCAATTTTGATAAACATTTTCCACTCATTAGACAATTGTTTTTTTGTTTACAATTACAGTTTTATGTAATTTTTTCATTTATTTTTTGTATAACACAGCATTATTGTAACTTTTAATAATTTGTTATAGACTTTTTTGTGCAAGTATAGCTAACATTAATTGTATATCGATTAAAATTTTTATGTAATTTATTAGAGAATGAAAAGTGCTTATTTACCAATTTTAGGAAAAGCATTTTTAAATCATGTTTAATTTTTGGTATAAATTGATATTTTTTAATTTTTTTAAATTTATTTTATTTTAATTCACCTCCTCAAGACCGAGAAGGCCACTACAGACGAGGAGGCTACTTATTCGTGGCTATAACCCTCTCTCAACTCTATAACTCCGAAACACGAACCTTGACGAACAAGGCCGCTGCGCGGAGAAACGAGTTGAGTGCGGTACTACCAGGGACGTGGTGGGGATCGAACTCGGAACCACTCGTTTATGAAGCGAGCCCTCTACCACTACACCACTACCGCATATAATTTGCTCATTTATTTCTGATGAGTCTTTATTAATGAAACACTGTGTAAAATTAAAAAAAAATTGATAAGTTACTTTTTTACTTAAATATATATATATATATATATATATATATATATATATATATATATATATATATATATATATATATATATATATATATATATATATATATATATATATATATATATATATATATATATAGATACATATATAGATACATACATACATACATACACACACATACATACATACATACATACATACATACATACATACATACATACATACATACATACATACATACATACATACATACATAAATACATACATACATAAATTGGTTTTTGTTTCTAATTGGAAGTACATATTTTATTATAAATTTCCATAGTGTCCCAAAATGCCATCTTTTTGAAAATAAAAACGACTTTGATAAAAAGTAGTAAAATATTTTTATACTTATCTCAAAGAATATATTCAAGGTATGATAAGATATAAATTGAAAAAAAACAGCTTATTATCTGTACTTTTATATCATACATTATACTACATTAATAATTATAAACATGAAAAGAAAAACAAGTTAGCTTATTAGTTTAATAAAAGTAAACTAGAAAAATGGGAACCATGGCAACCTTTTCAAACCTAAAAGTTCATAAGCCTATATAATTGGAAAAGGTACAAAGATTTCAAACATATTTGACCACATTTTAGTAGATAATTAATCTTACTTAAAGAACTTAATTGAATTTTATTACTTATAAAATAAGGAGATAAAAGAAAAATAGGAGATAAGTAAGGAGAATATCAGATTTTATCAAATATTTATGAATATGAAAGGAACATCAAATAACGTATATTGAAAAAGTTAAAGACTAATTAAAATACAAAACTTGAATTTTTAATAATGCTTTAAATTAAAAAAATATTGAATATTAAATAATATAAAATGATATGAAACTGTGGTACTAATGGCTAATATGTTAATACCAACATATTAGCCAATCAACAGTCAAGTAGGTATCAATCCACTTAATTTAACCAAGTGGATTGATACCTTCTTGACTGTTGACTTGACAAGCCTGAACCAGGTGGTATAATACCTACTTGGCTTTTGTATAAACTATATAATATATAAAATATAAGTCCTTACATTATTGAATGATTTATCCAAAACAAGATTTTCCAATTTTTTCCATTTTTCTACTGTTGAAAGTATCTCATGGTTCCAAACTGCTTCAACTTTGTCACGAGTGGCTAAAACATTTATTACACTTCAACTTTAGGAGAGCAAACATTTTTAATATTTAAGAAAAACATTCTTAAAAATTTTTAATATTTAAGAAAAATATTCTTAAAAATTATTCTTAAAAGACTTCAACTTTAGGAAAGTTTTTGAATATTCTAGAAACTTATCATTATTTCATTCAATAGTAGAATAAAAGCCTTAAATCATAAACAAATATTAAAAGTAAAAAGTAAATTATAATCTGATAAATTTAATTTTTTTTCAATTTATTTACAACATTTTTTTATTTTTTTATTTTTTTAATTATCTTCGCTTCCAACAAGGCTGCAAGCAACCACTAATTAGTGTTGGAAGTTACTGGAAGAGAAAAGAACTTAAACATGACTTCTATGCTATACAAAACCTATGCTATACAAAACTTATGCTATACAAAACCTATGCTACACAAAACCTATGCTATACAAAACCTATGCTACACAAAACCTATGCTATACAAAACCTATGCTATACAAAACCTATGCTACAAAAAACCTATGCTACACAAAACCTATGCTACACAAAGCCTATGATACACAAAACCTATGCCACACAAAACCTATGCTACACAAAACCTATGCTATACAAAACCTATGCTACACTAAACCTATTCCACACAAAATTTTTGTAACATAAAATCTAACCTAAACACCTACCCCACATTAGGGTGTTAGCCACCCCAATGGCACTTTATGTACTGCAAAATTTCTATCGAGTTAAAATATTTCAAAATTTAATGACATTTTTTTTCACAAAGTAATTGGACATTTTTGAATTAAAATTTCTCAATATTTTGTAAAACAACAATAATAAATTCACAAAATATCGCAAAAAAACACTGTAAAAAAAGCTTTGCAAAGTAATTAAAAGTTGAAAAAAAAAAAAACAAAAAAAAAAAAAAAAAAAAAAGCATAGAAAAGTGAAATTAATCTAGTAATTATTTTATATAATTTAAGAATAAACTATTTATATAAAAACTGAGATTATTTGAAAAAATTCTTAAAAAACAAAATGTTAATAAAGAAGGTTATTATCAAAAACAATGTTGATGCTGTAAGTCAAAGATGATGTTAGTATTATAAAACTATGTAAAAATGTAAATAAAGTCCACCAAATTCGAGATTAATTAACTTATTTAATTTTAAATGAATTTAGTATTTACTAATATAAGCATTAATTTCTTCAGTGCAACATTTTTAAGAACACTATTTAAAAAAAAAAAAATTACTGATATGCATAAACAAATTTGTGCCTCAATTTGAAGTCTGATGGTGGAAAAACCAAATAGAAATTGTGATATTTTTCCTTTCTGTATTAAAAAAAAAATTGAAACAAATTGCAAATGCCTTCTTTCTGTATAAAAAAGATTAAAGAGGCTTGTAAATGCCGTCTTACTGTATGAAAAAAAATTTAAACAGCAAATCCCGTCATGGGAGTTGCAATTACCAATACTAGTAATAAACTTACACATTTGGTTAGCAAAAATGCTGACATATCTATGCATTAAAAAAAAAAAAAGAAAACAAAGATTATTAAAATAATTGCTTCTCTGACCTAGAATCTAAAGTTGATGTAGCAGCACTCTCTAGTATTCTCCCTAGATAGTTAATATATCTACTATCTTGAAACAATGCAAGGGAATAACCTCACATCTCCCTATTTGTGCATGTGTGTTTATATATATAGGTGCTAAGCACTTAGTTTGGTCCCAGTTTTCCAGTGGTTCTTCCTTAGCATATCTTTATATTGCGAGTTATTATACATCAAATAAAAATATGAATATTTTTATTAAAGCCAGACAAGCTATAAAAAAAGAATTGTATAAAAACAAAAATCTTTTTTTTTTTTATTTATCATTTACTTTTACATTATAAGCTAAAATATTTGTTTTTCTAAGAATGAAATATAACAGTGTTTTATCATCGGTTTATATCTACAAGCATATGTGGCTTGATAAATGCATTTATTATTTTTTTTAATTTAAAGTATATTTTTATATACAAATATTTTATGCTTACGCAAAATAAAATTATGTAGTATATTTATGTAAATGGTATTTGTTGTGTGTAGTAAAAAAAATAAAACAATTGATACTAAAAATTATGCAATTCACCTGGACAAAAAATCTAGGTGATTTTGGAAAGATTCCTGCTGGGAAACATTTTATTTGGAAAAAAAGCGATTGCAAGTGTTGCAGAAAAAACTAGAGCCATTACATGTTAAAATAGAATTATAAAATAGAGAAAAATGTGTATTGAAGTAGAGGGACTAATTATTCTAGAAAATCAAACATCTATTACTTTAGTCATCTATGAGGTCAACAAAGTTTTTTTAGATATAAAACATTTTGATAACATGTAAAATAATAAAAATCATATTAAAATAAGAATCAAAAAGTACATTCATCTGGGATCAGCTTCAACATAATCTTTTGTTGCTCAACTGAATCTAAAATGTCTTGATCAACAAGGTAATTTTCTGTAAAGTATTTCTTTATCAGAGAAGCAGCACAACTAAAATTTTATATATACATATATGTTAAAATATATACACATATTTATACATTAAAAATATATATATATATATATTAGTCTTCTCCGTTTAAAATTTACCGCCAACGCACAAAAAAGCACTGGCCGGACTGTAATTGTTTGTCAGGCAGCCGCGATTTGAAAATATATTTGATTTTTGAACCTCTTTAACTAGAACTTGATTAAGAAAAAAGATTTGATGCAATTTAAAAATAAGCTGGAAACTTTTTGGCGACCGCTTAAAAAAGCACCAGCTGTAATAATGGTGGGCGTGTGGGCGAGTGTAAAACTGCAAGAGCGTGAAAGCGCTCGTCAAACAAAGAAGACTCTATATATATATATATATATATATATATATATATATATATATATATATATATATATATATATATATATATATATATATATATATATATATATATATATATATATATATATATATATATTTAGAGACACAGATTTAAAAAAACAAATTAATATAATTTTTTTTTAAAAACACAGATTTAAAAAAAAAAATTATATTAATTTATAACTTCCAGTAAAAATTTTGTTCTACAAATTAAATTACTTGAAATTTAGACTTTTTTCCTAATGACCCTGCTGAAGGACAAACTGACATTAGAAGATTATATATATTATAAATAAATAAATATATATATATATATATATATAAAAGAAAAAGAAGAAAAAAAAACGAAGAATGATGAATGAAACAATTGCTGCCCCATCCCAAACCCTCAGTCGATGTAGCAGCACTCCACTGCGAGTCAGGCTATTTGTCAGTCGATGTATGTACTGAAGCCCCCAGCAGCAGGCTATTTCAGTATAACGTCAGATTGCTTACCTTAGTACGCAATACTATTTGTATATATATATATATATATATATATATATATATATTATATATATATATATATATATATATATATATATATATATATATAATGGGTGCTCAATAGAAATCCATGAAAAGTTTAAAGGTTAAAAAAAATACACCTACAAGTTTTCTTGTTTTTAGATATCTACTTTGTTAGAAATTTAATTTTCTTTCTATATATATATACTGTGTTTCATAAAAAAGTTTCAAATATTTAATAGAATAATGTAAAAACAAAAAGCTAACAAAAAACAAATTTACAAATTTTATTTAGCGCATCAATCTGATAGAAAGAAGTTCACCTTGGACCACTTTAAAATATTATAAAAAATTATTTGAAATAAATAAAAAATTCAAAAACAAACCATCTCCGATTTAACCCAGCGTGCAAAAAATGGCTCTGAATATAAGAGTTAAAGAAAGTTGATGTATAATAAAAAAACAAAATAAATTTGATGTAAAATAAATGAAAACATTTAACACCTCAATACCATGTTTTATCATTCTAATGTAGTTTCCCAAAGACAAACTGCTTGCAAATTTGAATGTTGCACAGCACTGATAAATTACTTGTTAAAAAAAAAAGACCAGCATCAGTTGCCATAAAATGAAAAAGAAACCAATGTAAAATAATAACCAAGAAAAAATTTCTAAAAATATGATGGAATTTTGCAAGAAAAATAGTGCATCATTGATGATGAGTCTTATTTTACTTTGGCTCAAAGCTAAATCAATGAAAATAGTATTTTTTACTCAAGTAACGTTGAACAAATTCCTGTGCAAGTAAAATATAGAAAAACGGTAAAATTTTACCAAAAATGCTTGTTTTGTTGTGCATTTCTAGGTGCAAAACTGCACTTTGTCCCCGGCAGTCTTGCAGTTAACTAAAATCTTTATTTTGAGGGTTTGTATCAAGAAACGGTTATACCAGTTTTTACAACTGCTTCGAATTTATGACAGTTTGCACTTATGAGATTTCGCACTAATGCAAGTTTGCACTTATATGAAGTCGCATCAAGTATTTCAAATATGACTTTGATTCTTCTCTGATACTGATTACATTATAAAACATTATTTTTACTGATACCATTGTAAAACTAGTTTTTACGGTTGATTATAACACAATCAATGTTATCTTGTACTGTTATTTTTATTAATTGTAATTTTTGTTATGTTTTTGTAATCTTAATCATCAACAGCATCTGAGTATCACAACCAGGTTACCAAAAGCAGATAAAAAATGATTTACAGTCTTCATAATTATATTAATAATTATATAATATTTTTTTTTAGATTTATCATATGATGTAATGATGTGTTATAGATAATTTGTTAAAAAGATATAACTTATTTATTTTGTTAAATATTTTGTTATATATTATTAATTGTATATAAACTTGTTTTAAAATTCACAAGCTGAATATACAACAAAAAAGAAAATTTAAAAAATAAAATTCAAATAGAAGTTACGCAATTGAAGGGTGGAGAGAATTTCCTTTAAAATGAACTTTCTTTGCTTGTGCATCTCCTCCCTGCAATATTAAACAGATTGTGAGAAGAACAAAATTTATAACAATGAAACAATAAAAATCAGATATCAATACTATATCAATTTAGTATGCAACAATTATAAATATAATATTTAGCACTTTAACAATTTTCACAAAAAATTCACATTAAAAAAATTCTCTTGGGAAAAAAAAGAAAAAAAAAATTCTCTTGCAAAAAAAAAGGAAAAAAAAAAAAAAGTCTTGGCTTCTGTTAAAGCAATTTCTTCATCTTTTAAACCATTTCTTCAGATGATGCTGACGTATTATATATTTTTGTTAAAAAAATTCAGCTATAATTATGGTTATCATAAAAATCTTTTTTAGAGAGTTAGAGAGTCTAAGGAAATACAGTTTAAAATATTTTAGGTTTTTCAATTTTTTCAGTTATGCATTTTTACACTTGTTTTTATTTTGTTAATATAGACATTAACCCTTGACAATAAACAATGCTCAGATATACAAACAGCAATGCAGTGCTCAAGTGTAAATATTAATAAAAAATGCAAGTGTAAATATTAATAAAAAATATACAGTTAATTTACTTTGGTAGTTGTATAGACAAACCTAAGTAACTGAAATACACTGACATCTTTTCTAAAGCTTAAAAAATATGCTACTTTTTTTTCAACTTTTTTAAATTACCAACCTTAATAACACTAAGATACTCAGCTACAGCAGATCTTCCCTGTTGAGAAAGCTTACGAGCTCTTAGATCAGCAACCCAGCAATGAATTCCACGACGCCCACTATATACCCATAATCGATGCTCAAATCCAAAATCCTCTAAAAGCAGACCAAAATAGCAATAAACATAAGCTGCATATTATTAAATTAACAAATAACTATTTAAAAAAAAACAATAGAATTATCAAAAAAAAAAAATTAACAGAATAAAAGCAATCAGAACAGCACAAGGAAATTAAATAGAGAAAGATCTTAAACCACATTTTCTTTTTATACCATGTCAGGGGGTTTTTCCCTCTTTCCTAACAGAATATAACAACCTTGCTGTTATATTTTTAGTTCTACTCCAAACCCTCTTCATAAGTTTCATAAGTTAATTCCTTATTTTAGTATGACTTAGTAATTTGAACTATTAAGCCATTTCACATTTTTTGAAAGATTTGCTGAAAGCATTAAGCATTAAAGAAAAGTTTCAACAATTATAACATTTCATCATGAAAAAGGTGGTTCCCTCTTCCATAGTGCTGCCCTTTTTTTGATATAACCTTCTAAAGCTCTGTCTAATATCTTTAAAGCCACTGTCATTAAAGGCCAACACTTGTTGCAAACTGACGCTCCACTAAAAAGTAAATATTTTTAAATATTTTTGATTGAATTATAGTTATTAACAAATTAAAACTATTCTTAAAATCAGCGTTTATAACAAAAACCTTCTATTTTTCTACATAAGAGGTTTTTAAATTTTTAATACACATTACCTTACATACTGAAGAAAAAAATCATATTAAAAACAAATTTAAAAAATTTTTAAAACTTTATTAATTTTTGGAATGCTTAGAAAATCAAAACATTTGCCATTTTAAAATAATTTTTGTTTTCTTATAATATATTCTCAGCAGTATGTTTGTGATAGAGGGAATCTATATGACACTTTCCTGACAAGTACCATAAAATTATTCCTGATAAAATATAAAGAAAAAATATATATACATATGTTCCATGCATTGGAACTTCTGTATATTTCAAGAAATGTTAAAGATCATGTGCAGCACTGCCAATTTTTTAATTTTCAGTTAAACATTTGTTATATAAAAAATTAAAGTTTGTAATGGCAGCTTAATGGAATTTTAAAGCAACTAATCAAATCTAATTCCAGGTAGACTAACTGTGCTGTTTAGCAGCCGAATTTGGATGCATTTATGGTACAATAGAATATTTGGTCTAATCACTAAGTAACAGCTTGTGCAATGAAAGATTTTGCAATAAAGAGAGATTTTGATAGCATTTTAATTACTTCTTTGATTTAAGCCAATAACATTTTTTAACAATTTTTAGCCAATAACATTTTTTCTTTGCCTAAACATTGGCAAGAGGTCATACATAATAATATTGCATATATTGTTATACAATAATATTGCATGCATTAATTTTTCTTTTTGGCGAAAAAAAAGGTAAAGCAAATATTTAAAAAAACTTGACATCCATATGTACTAATTCTACTTTCTGCACCATCATTCATGCCATTAAAATATTTTTTCACAGATATTTGAGTATAAATGTCACAGTTATTTGAGTATAAATGTCACAGTTATTTGAGTATAAATGTCACAGTTATTTGAGTATAATTGTCACAGTTATTTGAGTATAATTGTCACAGTTATTTGAGTATAAATGTCACAGTTATTTGAGTATAAGGAATTTCCACTTTGGAATGATAAAGAACTCTTTTCTGAAACCGAAACTGAATTCTGTACATTTCTGAGAATTGATAATGAATAGGTCATTTTCAAAACAAATTTTCACAATATTGAAACAATTAGAATCTATAATGAATTCTGAATGTTGGTGAAAGCAGCTAAACAAGGAGAACAATAACTTTGATTTAAATGCAAACTAATTATCAGTAAGAGTTACAAAAGCTTATAAACCTTGGATGATGATCCTCCTTGCGGGAGTATCGAAATAGCTTAGAAGGCTACCCTTTCTAAACTCTTAAACTCCAAAACATGAGACAAACAAAGTTGTAGCAAAACAAAGCAATTTCAGGGATAAGAATCAAATTCAGAATGTCACTATCACTACACTACAATAACATGATGAAGTGGAAGAATTTAAAAACTTAAAGATCTAGTGTGTATATTTTAGAAATTTTTATCAAAAAGCATTGGATTTTTTTATTTGTTTTTGTTTTAAATCAACAAGGCTGCGAACAACCACTACTTGAGAGTTGATAGAAAGCAAAGAAAAGAGTTAATAGAATTGCAAAGGAGATGGTGAATAGAAAGCAACCTTTGTCTAAAAGGGAGAGGGCCTCATTAGAAAACAGCCCAAATATGACAACAGTATTTTATACAAGGTCCAATAAGAGAATTATGCCCTAAAAAACTTAACCAACAGCTGCACTTCTAAGCTTACTAAACCTAGTTCAACAATTAGCACCGCTATTACAAAAGCTGTGACTAAGAACACCATACTTTGACAAACCAAAGCAAAACAAGTTTGTATCGTTGGCCTCCTTAGTCCTACCCATGAAACACAATGAGCACAAGATGATTTAGAAAAAGTAAAATAATGTATATGGATCATTGAAATTCCAAAGTAATTTCAGTTGTAGGTCGTATCCATGGTGATGGCATGGCAGATTTCACAATTGTTCTAATTAAAATTCCCAAAAGTTCCAAAAATCATAGTAAAAAAACCATATTAGGCTCACATTTAAAAAGTATGTAGAAAATGTAGTTAGTAAACACAACAAAGAAAAGAACTAAATTGATCTTGAAAATTTATGTGAAAAAAAAACGTAGTTATTAGCTAGCAAGGTCATTCAAAAGTTAAAAAAATATATTGTTTAATTGATGTCTTTGATGTTTAATTCTGTAGTTTTGAACTAATTATAGTTATTTTTTTAATTTATTTTTATAATTTAAAAACTCTTATTATATAAAAAAAAAAAAAAATAACATAAACAAAATCAAAAATAAAACTTGCAACAAAACATATTTAACGCAATATTATCATATTTGGTGCAATTTCAAAATGCAATATATTTATTTCAAACTTACACATAAAAATTTATTTAATGATAAAAATTTTATTATAAAATTAGAAGAACAAAAATATGAAAAAAAATGTAATAAAGTAAAAATATTATAATTTTTTTTGATAAAATATCAAAACTTTTCTTAAATATATCTTTATTAAAGACTGTCGCTAATTAAAAAGTCTCTTCTGTTATTTAAAAAGTTACATGAAAATCACTAAAAAGTTTTTGTCATAAAAATTTAATATGGTAAGACATTTTTTATTTTATTTTTATAATATAAAAAATATATATTTATATAAAGGAAAACAATTTATTTACCACTTATATATAAGTTTATATTATAAGTTTATTATAAACAATCACTTAAACCTTTTGAAAAAAATATATTTAAAAGCGACATAAATGAAATAGATTAAAATATCAAACTCATTCATTCAAAGTTTAATTACAAATGATTTTTTGCAAAAGAGTTCTTGTTTTCCCCTCACTATTTCAGAAGATATATAAATATAAATATGCAAAAAAAAAAATATGAAAAATGCTATATAAATATATGAAAAAGTTTGTATAAGATTATAACCCATCAAAAAAATAAAAAACACATTTTAAAGACTTATATGTATTTAAATTTATTTCTTTTAACTTTTGTGGACCCATAAATTGCTTATATTAAATGAGTTAAAAGACCATGGGCATGAGCCATAGCTTGCCATGAATTTTTTTTAAATATAAGATTTCAATTCCCTTTTCTTTAATGCCACTTTAGATGTGAGAATATCTGGAAGATCGTTTATGTAAATTAAAAAGAGTATAGGGCCAAGGATAAAACCTTGAGGAACCCCTGAAGATATAGGATATGAAGAAAAGTGCTGTCCATCAAGGACAACTTTAGTACTACAATTGGAAAGGAAGGATTCAATAATCTTAAAAATGTTAGCTGATACACCATAAGAAGAAAGCTTATGGAGAAGACCAGCATGTCAAACTTTATCAAACGCTTTAGAAATTTCAAGAGCGATAGCCTTTACCTCTTCTCCTCTATCTAATATGCAATAAAACCAAATGGTTATTATTGTTAGCAAAGCAGCTGAGAAGATCAAAATCTATATTGATGATCAAAGAGTAAGTTATTAGATTCAAGATGAGAGATTAAGTTTTTGAATAAAGATTCAAAAACCATACTTATGATAGGAAGTAGACTGATCGGACAGTGATTAGACGAGTCAGATCACTTTCCAGAATTTTCGAAAATAGGGATAACAGATGCTACTTTCCAGCATCCCAGAAATAAAAGACTCCAATAGGCATTTGTTAAATAGTTTTGAAAGTATAGACGACAGCTCCAGAGAACACTTCTGCAAGATGAAAACAGGTATGTTGTCCGGACCATAAGCTGTAGAAGAGTATAAGTAGAAAATCACTTTAGATACAGAAGCTGGAGTGATATGAATGTCAAGCAATGGATCAAGCTGTTTGTCGGCATTATCAGGTAGAACGCAACTAGTGGAATCAACTTGTTTCTCCGCGCAGCAGCCTTGTTCCTTTGCTCTTATTATTGATACTGTTAAAGATTTTCCAGAAGTCACAAGAGCCTAATTCTTGAGATGAAATACAGTCAGCAAAATTCAGGTCGGCAATGTCGACGCAAAAGCCGACCTATCTTTGCTTTAGGACGGCATACAACTGCCGACCTGAATATCCTAAAGTGTCGGCATGCAAATTGAAATACATGTAAAAAATATATATTGTTTGTGAAATATTATTTTATAACTTTTTTATTGTAATTACTTGCTTTTCAAGTTTGACATGTTTTATTAAAACAAAAACTCATTCATTTTTTTTCATTTTATTTTTTCTTTTTTTCTTCTTATTATTATTATTTTTTTTTCTCAACATTTATTCAAGCATAGCAAGGTTAAAAAATACTTTTTTAAATGCCTGTTGTTTTTTGTTTATAATATTTATAATTTATTGTTTATAATAATTACGCTTTTTTAAGCGCAAATTAATATTTTATTAAGTCATAAAACCTCATTTTAATTTATTCTATTAGTTAAAACCATTTAAATAATAAAATTATTTACATGTTTACGGTTTTTTTTTAATATTATTAAGGATCAGAAAGTATATTTCTAATGATCACCAAAATATTTCTAATAAAGGGTTAGAAGGCACTCTCCATTTAAAATGCGCAAGAAGTTTTGATGAAACATTTTATGATCGTGCTATAGAATTATTTATGAACCAATATCCAAATGGTGAAGTAAGAGAGCCATGCTAATGTTAAGAAATCAAAAATATGCAAAAAACAAAACGACTTCAGTAATGACTGCTTTGCAAATTTTTTGTTTCTTTCTGACAGTAAATCTTCTGATCAAGAAAATTTGATTTCTAACATTAACTTATTTAATATTTATTTAATAAACAATATTTCTGATGATGATCGGACAGAAAATTCTGATGAGTAAATTATGAAAATACGTCAATAAGACAATCGCCATTGCGCGGAAACAATGTTTATATATAAGGAAACAAAAAACTATTTTTAGTATTTTTAACTTTTGTTTTCCCTCCATCAATTTACATATAACTATATGTAAGTATAAAACTATACTATAATTAAATATAGAAAAACACCACCCCTACTACTGGAGAATTATATGCTTATTTCTCATAGAAGTTAAACAACCAGATGTAAACTGTCTACTCATTTTGTTAAACAATTTGCCATTTTAAACAAAACCTTTGCCTACAGAACATTAACTAAATTTGTATTTCTAAACGATGTTCTTTCTATGAGCAGTCTAAAAAACCAATTAAAATGTAATAAATAAATTATGACCATTTTTTTGTAAAAAAACAACAACTTGAAAACTAAAAAATCACTAATTCATAAAAACAACTTGAAAACTAATAAATCACTAATTCACAAAATTTAAATGCTACATTCTTTAAAATATTATTGTCTAAAGCTATGCTATTACAAAGTAATCCTTTTATAATCAATTAATCATTACCCCTATCGTAACAGAAAGCAAAAAATCTTTTTTTTTTTTTGTTGACCTGACGTTGGCTAAGGACGACACGCTTGTGTCGACCTGAAATCCTTTGAATTTCGCTGACTGGAAATACGAGATTTCATGGCCTGAGAATAGAGGGCTTTAGTGTTAAACAAAACCTTTTCACAATGGTTTCTAGCAATAGTAAACAGATGTCTGTTTTTTGAAGAACCGCTTTGCTGATAGATATGGAAGTAATGGTTTGGATTGGAAATTGCAGCAGCACAATGTGAGGTAAACAATGGAGAAGAGTAAGGCTTGACTTGGAATTGTCGAGAGGGAAGATAAAAGATTCCATGTCAGCCTGAATCCAAGAAGTTATGTAAGAAGCACATATCTGCAGGAAGACAAAAGATTTCTACTCAAGGGCTGTCAAGAAGAAAATCACGGAGAGAGTCCAGGCAGCTTTAAGGTAGTTGTAAGAGGTACAATGATAGGGAGATTCTGATAATGAAGAAGAATGAGATAATAGTTTTAGAGAGATCAAACCGTGATCAGAAGCACCTAAGTGTGAATGTGGAGAAACTGAGCACTGACTAGGATCAGAAAAAAGATATAAGTCGAGTAGAGACACTAAATGATTTGGATTGTCTGGAAAACAAGTTAGAAAGTTGACTATTTGATTTAGAGATTGAGAAAGGAAAAAGTTGTGCCTTTGAATGGCTTGGCTCTAGTTGTCACTGACACTAGAGCCAAGCCATTCAGTGTGATGACCATCAAAGCCACCAATAAAATGATGTTGGCTGATGAATAAAGAGAGAGGGCTAGGACAGTTTGATCAGAAATAACATCGAAAAGTGTGTATTCTTGAGATGAAGGAGAGCAATATAAAACAATATAAAAGCAATAGAGTGAAGTGGTGCTAAACGAAAGCACATAAAAAAATAGTCGGTGGATTCAAATCTAGTTTCTTGACAAATGGGTGATTTTTTACGAATGTAAATGCCCAGGCCAATTGGACTATTGGAGTCTTTACAAAGTAAAGGAAAATAACCATCAACACTGAGATCACAAGATGAGACAGCCGAACTCAAATTAGTCTCACGGGGAGCAAGTAGTCTGGTGAACTTTGCAAGAGATAAGACCACAAATATTAGTGAATGATAGATTTAGAGAAGTTGGTGAAGACGATGGTTTTTTGTGTTTTATAGTTTTTGGTACTATAGTCATTTTTAAATTTGTTAATGAACTTGACTCAAAGCATAGTACTATCTATGCTCAGTACACTATTCAATAGTCCAAGCAATGGCCTTGTTAATTTTAATTTAACCATTAATTATAATTTTATCATTTTTATCAAATTAATCATTAATTATAATTTTATCAATTTAGCCATTAATTATGATTTTATCAATTTAATCATTAATTATAATTTTAATTTAATCATTAATTGTAATATTTATTATATTTAATTCATATTATATATTTATATGTTATTTAACATTAGTTTGATTAAATACTATCAATTTGACAAAAATACCAACAATAATTTAAAAGTAAAGCAAATATTCTAGCAAAGGGTTTAAGACGCAAATGCTTTTATTTAAAAAATTTTATCTACATCCTATCCTCAAGAATGATTGCAATTCTATTGGTGCATTGAAATGAAGTTGTCAAAATGGCGTCTGTTGTTCTAATTTTTAAAAACTCTGGTAAACATACTGACCCCTCTGATTATTGTCCAATCAGTCTTCTTTCTGTTATTAGCAAGGTCTTTGAGTCTTTGATAAAAAAATTTCTCACATTCCATCTTGAGTCCAATAACTTGCTGTCAGACAAATAACTATTGCAGTACTGTCGACATTCCTATATTGATGAATAGCAACCCTCTCACTGATTCCACTTTCTTTACGTCTTCTTAGATTATCATTTACTACTGACTTTTTATGGAAATCATATATACAATCGATTGCTAAATTAGCATCTGCTAAGGTTGCTTCTTTTTATCGTGCTCACTATTTTTTCTCTCCTGATTCCATTTCCTACCTCTACAAATCTCTTATTCGTCCATGTATGGAGTGCTGTTATCATATTTGGGATGGTTCTTCTAATGATGCTCTTTCTCTTCAAAATAAGGTCCAAAAATGCATTGTAAACAGAGTGGGACCCAGTCTATCTGCTAAGCTTGAACCTCTTTCCCATTGTCGTAAAGCTGCATCTCTTTCTCTTTTCTACAAATACTATAATGCTTGCTGCTCAAAGGAGCTTTCACCTCTAGTTCCATCAACTAAAACTCATTCTTGCTTGACTTGTCATTCATCAAAGTCTCATTCTTCGATTGTATCTGTCTCTTCATGCTCCAAAAACTTTTAATTGTCTAGCTTATTTCCACGCACTTCAACCCCTTGGAACTCTGTCCTATCTTCATGTTTTCCTGACTCATACAACCTTCAACTTTTTAAGTCTTCTGTCAACCATTTGATTACTCTATAACTCTACTTTTTTTTTTTCTAGCAACTCTCAACTTGATAATGGTTGCTTGAAGTCTTATTGGGAGTAAAAAAGAATTAAAAAAATATAGATAACAATGCTTAAATAGGTTACTTTTAGAGTTTTTGCGTGTAAACAAAATCAAAATAAAAATTTATCCAAAAAATTCTAAGTAATGCACAAAGTTTAGTTAATGTATTATTTAATTATTATTATAATAACGCAGGATAAAAATATTAAAATGCCATCAGTTGGAAAATCGGTAAAAAAGGTCGATTAAGCTGATGCCGATTAATCGGTACATCACTAATATATATATACATATACATATATACACACATAAAAATTGTTTACAATAATATATCAAAAATCGCTTCTTTATACTTAAGCCAGAAAGAAAGGGAAGTAAAAATCATTTTCCAATTTTTAAAAAAAACATCAAAATCAAATTTTAATATATATATATATATATATATATTTTTTCACAGATTTTTCCTTATAAAACATTTTTTAACATTTTTTATTTCCTTTACATATTTAATATATATATATATATATATATATATATATATATATATATATATATATATATATATATATATATATATATTTATATATATATATATATATACAAAGGTCTTATCATAAAACATCGAAACAAGGACTGCATAACCGAATTTGTTTTGCCGACCGCAAACACGTTTAGGTCGGCAGTTAGGTCGGCATTGCCGAATGCTGACCCTAATTCCGAGGGTTGTATATATATATATATATATATATATATATATATATATATATATATATATATATATATATATATATATATATATATATATATATAAATATATATATATATATATATATATATATATATATATATATATATATATATATATATATATATATATATATATATATATATATATAAACCATTTTCATAGACACAACAAAATCTTTTATTTATAGTCGAACTTGGTGCTTATAAAGAACTTTGATTTAATAATTTTAAACCATAGAAAGCCCTTACCTGCAGCAAGTCCTTACAGTATCATAATCTGTCATGTCAATATCAAATACAAGCTCTTTTTCTTCAGCTTTAAAAACTCCGGCTTGCAACTGTTTATTGTCTTTAGGCTAAATCAAATAAGATTTTGATAGGATAAAAAAAATACTATTATGTGCTTTACTATATAAAAGAACTTAAATACCTTGTAATTATATATAGCTCCTATGTCAATTTTGTATGGAACCTTTTTTTGCATTTCTTTTTCTAATTCATTTGCATCAGCAAAAGATAAATAACGAATATATATGTCATCTTTCAATGTAAATGAAAATTCACGATTTTCAAAGTAACTTTTTGAATCTGACACATTAAATCAAATAAAATATTATCATAATATTACAAAATCAAAAATACAAACTGAAAAAGTATAAAGTTGTAAAAGAAATATAAAATTCTATTAAATAAAAATTTAAACTCTTGATATATAGATGTTTGAAATCATTTTTAACCTTCTCCATATTGCAACCACTTGTAATAAAGCTTGTATGGAAACAGTCTTTTATAATATTGCTTCAATAAATCAGTTAAATCACTTTCATTATAAGACTGTTGTGTTAAAATCTTTTCATTCATCTAAACAATTCCAGAAGTTATTTTCTTTTTGTATTGATTTACAAATTTATAATTGCTGAGCAAAATTTATTCTATTGTATTAACAGTTTAACTATTTATTATAACTATTAAAACAGTTTATAACTATTGTATTAACAGTTGAACCACAAGTCGAACTGTATAAAGAAAATAATAAAAACAAATAGTGTAGAAAAACATTCATAAATTTTAGCACCCAAAAAAAATTTTCTTAAAGAATTATACTTTGAAAAAAAATTTTTTGCTTCCAAAGGTACTTTCTTATTATTATTATTTAATAATGTACTTTATGCAAATACTCGCAGTTTGATCATTTTTTTCATATAAAGAGATTTATAAAGATTAAAGAGTCAGAACGCTTTTATTTTAACATTACCACTTAAAAATGTATCCAAATTTGATGAAAATCTTGATGAAAATAAATAATAATAGGTTTTGGAGATATTGTTATTTTAAAATCAGCTAATTTTATTTGTTTGTTTGTTTGTTTGGCAAGATTTCCTGTGCAGTCGGTATTTTATCAAATGATCAATGTCATAAAGTGGTGTACACTAAATCAAATTTAAAGGGACTATTTACTGAATTTAAGCTACAACACTCTCTGACCAAAATAGGATTTTTCAAATTCGTTTAGTTAAACCCAAAATGGTGTACCTGTGCTGGTCAAAAAGGAATCCATACTGTTTGTATATGTACAATACACCAATACCTAAAAATTAAGTGCAGTTAAACTGGAGAAGAACTACTATGAACTAATTGAGAACAATGTTTATTGCAGAGAGTCAAGGGAATTGATGGGCCATAGATTTAATTTTAGCCTTAAAATTCAAAATATTAATAATAATATAACTATAAATCTATTACAAAATGAAGGATCATTTGAAGAGAATGACAAAGTTGATTAAGATAAAATACAAACAGTGGAGTAGAACAGATAGCTTTTAAATTACACATCTAAAGTAGGTAAATTTATTGAAAGACTTTGTGAAAAGCATGATAGTATAAAACACATTATATTGCTAAAGCACAAGGTAAATATTTGAATAAATAAATTCAATCTCCCATACCCCAAAAATCAACCAAAACATTGAAATTATTGTTTTAGTTAATTTTTTATTTGACTTATAAGATGAAATCCATTAGTTTAATTTATGAATTAATTAATGCAAGTGGCCTCTAATTCCTGATAGACTAGTTTGTTTAATTTACTTGCATAGTGAATTTTTCATTTTAACTATCATAATGTATTTGCTTTTTATAATGAAATTGTTTAAAATAAGAAATTTTTAACATTCATATGTATTTTCTCGTTATAAATTTGTTTGATTGTTCATAAAAATCTTTAAAAAACGCACTTCCAAAACACTCTTCAAAAAAACTATTTTAATAGAAGCAAAAAAAAATTCACAAAAACTTCATGCTACCATAATTACCAGTTCTCTGCTCTGCCTTTATTAGAATTTTCAAAATAGACTATAGGCAAAATACATTCCTCCTACTAATATAGCTCTAATTGTTTTTATAGAAAACAAATATTATATTCTGATTCCTCATTTTTAAAACAATATTGGTGCTAATTAACAGCTTAGTCACATCTATAGTTTAACAGTGACTCGTAAAACAAAAACTATAGTAAAATCAAAATGGCAGCCAAATTTAAAGTAATAATATCTCCAAAACCCAACTGATATAAGTGCAGAAATTTTGCAAAGTAGTCTTATATATTATATAAATATATTTATTTGTAAGGTAGTCATATAAATAATCATTTTTGAAAAATAAGAAAATCTGGAATGGTAGGTTACATGCCAGTTCTATATTATCATGGAATACCCCATAATGTATACTTTATAAAGTATTTATTAATCTAATACTTCATTTAATATGAACCTAATAGCATGAACCTAAATAAAGTATTGATAAATAAATACTTAATAGATTATAACAGGGTTCCCACTATTAAAACTAAGGCTAAAATTAAGGATTTTCAGGAGATTTGAGGAGATATTTTCCAAATATTTAAGGAGATTTGGTTGCGAATGACATTTTTTTGAAAGAAAAAGTAAGGATAATTAAGGAGAAAACAATTACATTAAAAACATAATCTCGTTTTTTTTAATAAATTTTATATATATATATATATATATATATATATATATATTAATATATATATAATAACAAAAATAGGTTTGAAAACTATCAAAAATCTATATATTATCTTCTTTATTAACAAGTATAATCCATTTTTAAAACTTTTTCAAAACTAATCCACTTTAAAAAAACTTTCTAGATGAATAAAAAAAAAAATAAGGAGAAATTAAGAAGAAGCAGTCAAATTTTAACTTTTTTAAGGTTATTTAAGGACATTTAAGGATGTTTTTATTTTTTAAGGATATTTAAGGTTTTTAAGGAGGAACCCTGTATAATATCTAATAAAAATAGAAAATATAACACTAATAGCATGGACCTATGGTAGCCTAAATAAAGTGGTCTTAAAGCACTATCAATAGCGTAAAGTCAATAGCGTTTATTTGGGTAGTCATGAGTATTGCATAAGTTGACAACTAGTGAAATAACTAAAAATTAATACAGACAATTAAATAAATATTAATAATATTGTCCTTAAATAATATTAAGGTCAAAAGCACTCGATAGAAAAACCACTCAACAGATCTTTTATTTTATAAGTTTTGAAAGTAAAAATTTTAAAAAGTTTTTACTCTAAACGCGATTACAATCATTTAATTTTTGTATAAAATTTACAGGACTATTTAAAAATATTCTAGATAGTATTTAGCAATTATAATAATATAGTAATTAGATATCTTAAAAGTATCAACTTGTCTAATTGATCAATTAGATCTTTGGTAGAATAGATAGGTTAGAATTTAGATCTTTGGTAGTCAATTGACTACCAAAGATCAACACAATCAATAAACATCACGCATGTTCAGTGTATGTTTTTACTAATTTAAGCTAAACGTTATGCAGAATTGAACCATTTTTTTAATAATACAATTTGTTTTTTATCAATTTAAAATAAATACCAAGTACAGGTTTGTATTAAAAAAATGTATATATATATTATTGATGAAATTCTTAAATTATATTTACCCGCGCAAATTTTCGGACGTTCTATAACATATTTCCGGAAATATATATTTTGTGGAAATGTATATTTTGTGCGGAATTCCGCACAAAATTTTTTTGAGTGAATGCTAGCATTCACTCAAAAAAATTTTGTAAACGGTTTTTCTAAAGCATGCTTTAGAAAAACCGTAGCTAAACTTACGAGATAGTTGATAAAAAAGGAACAACGAAATATGATGGATAAATAGAGTAGCTATAAAAAGCTTTTTGGTGTATTAGTTAGAGCATATCTGCAAAGTCAACCATAATTACAATCCAAAAATAAATGACTCATCTTTTGGAATGCGATAAAAAAAATCCAGGTTTTCAAGATTAATGAAAAGTTAGGATTCTAGAGCTTCAAAAAACGAAGAAGAATATTAACTCATCTTTTTTAAGTCAACCAATAGTTTAAAAGCGACATTATTCAGTTCAGTCAGGACCATTTAGTTTAATTAACTTTATCAGTTCCAGTTTCTCAAAAAAATAGTTCCACTTTTCAAATATCAAGTTTCAAGCACTCTGTCATCACACAATCAATACACACTCCGACTTAAAGAAGACGTCTGAACCAAAAACATTTCAATTGTGTAATCAAAACTTATTACGTTGTAATATTGCTTCGAGAGAAATGCGGGATACTGTCAGAGGCGATTTTAAATTGGGATTAGTTAAAACACAAAAAGCAAAACAAATTCAAAATTTAAACACTCTGAGAAAAATTGAGATGTGTGACACACACCACAATCTCTTTCAGTAAAAGTTTAATCCTTCTCAGTGAAAGGCTAATCCTTCTTATTGAAAAGCTGCTAGAACCCGGTGAACCAGACTTTGAAGGAAAAAGAAATAAAATGAAACAACCAAATAAGTCTATATAAAAAAATATAAAGAATTGGAAAAGAAAAGTCCAAACGAAATAGGTTTTTACATGAAACATCTCGCTTAAATTGGACAGCAAACCCTTATAAGTGGTAATCAGCAAACACAAAACATTATCTTAACAGAACTTGCTAAAGTTTTTTTATTGTTTGCGGGTGACACTGTACATAGTCAATGACTATTTTTGGAACTATGTAAAATTTATGAGAAAAAGCGCAATCGTTTGCTTTCATCAAACGATGTTAATATTTTTATTTATTAACCGTCTATGGATTTAGCAATAAAATATAGAATTAGTTGAGTTTAGAATAGTAGTTTTAAATATAGTTATTTGTTTTAATAAAAAAAATAATTATTTGCAATCCGTTTTTATTTAGTTTTTTTGTTACAATATGGCATTTAGTGTTCGGCCGAAGAGTTTGCAATATTCGTCAAAATACCAAATAGTAAAAAAAGTAGCCGAATATGTAGAATACCAAATAGTCACCGAATATTCGGGGCATCTCTAACTGCAAGTTAAAATTTTAAGAGTCTTTTTTTGAAATAATTTTATAAAATATCCCAATATTTAACCGACATTTTTGCTTTGATAACTTGATTCAGTAAACATTTTTTACCCGTAAAACACTAACTTTTGAAAAATATAAATTCATTTTATGTAATTAAAATATGCCGTGTATAAGAAAATGTTTTGATTAATATGTTATTGTTCAAGCCCCCGAGAGTAAAATTTAATTGATTTGATATGTAAGCTTTGTTGGGTTTGACATCCTCCTACATCCGTAGAATTGGTTCTGGCTATGCACCATCACTTCCACCAACACTGGCAAAGATAAAAGAAACCTACACTGTTAAAAATTTCCGTTAAAAAAACGGAAATTTATTCCGTTATTTCAACGGAAAGTATCCGTATATCCATATATGGATGTACCAACGATTATGTACGGAAATTTTCCGTATTTGTTCAAATACGGAAATTTTACATACAACTCAAATATTAAAATTAAAAAATTAAAATTAAAATATTAAAATTAAAAAATTAAAAAAATTAAAATATTAGTACTTAGCTGTATTGTATGTGTTATAAATTAAATAAATAAATTATCAAGTACTACAAGAAATGTCATTAAAACAATACATACAATTTAAATACAAAACATACAGTTTTGATCAGTTCACTAAAAGATTTTGAACGTAAACCTTATTTCTAGCAGTCCAATATTGTAAAAAGGTTATATATAGTAAGTTATTGTTGATACTATAGAATCAAGTGATGCTCTATAGTATGGATTAAAAATAAAAATGGTAGTTTCCAATAAATAAATAAAATGTGAAGGCCTTAAGTTATTGCTTTAAAGGTATTGTTTGTTTTGTCTATTGTTGTTAAATCATTCTGGATTTATATTTAATATTTTTCTCAAAACTCAAGTGCTTCGGTGTATCAGAATAACTTCCAGAAATGAAAATAAGATGCATTTTTAGTTAGAAAATTTAAGTTGCAGGTATAAGGCTTGAATGTTCTTTCTATTTTAGTATGCATATCTCTTGTAGATTAAATGCTATGAAGTATTTATTTATTTACTAAAGTGATTTTTAGATTTATTACTTTAAATGATGGTTTTATAGTACATTTATTTTTGTAGAACTTATCAAATGTAAACATCATCCTAAGATCTTAGCATTTTCTGCATATATATATATATATATATATATATATATATATATATATATATATATATATATATATATATATATATATATATATATATATATATATATATATATATATATATATATATATATAATACATCAGGGGCGATTCTAGACTGTTTTTGACCATAATTAGATGTTTTTTTACAAAAAACATTGTTTTTTTTCAAAATATTATGTTTTTTCAGAAAATATTGTGTTTTTTGGCAAATATGGCTTATTTTTATGAAAATAATCTTACTGATCAAGCCAGTGTGCGAGGTACCGTTGCTTACATTTTTTTCTTGAATAGTTCCTGTATTTATATATATATATATATATATATATATATATATATATATATATATATATATATATATATATATATATATATATATATAAGTATATATATATACATATATATATATATATATATATATATATATATATATATATATATATATATATATAAGTTTATATGCATATATATATATATATATATATATATATATATATATACATATATATATATATATATATATATATACATATATATATATATATATATATATATATATATATATATATATATATATATATATATATATATATATATATATATATATATATATATATATATACATAGTAATGCATACTTTAGTGCTATGATGTCACACTGATTTAGAGGTGAGAGTCGATACATAGACTGATTTAGGGAGAACTCGTAAGGGAATTGATAACACATATAAGTGTTTCAGTTAAGGAAGGATAAATTTATTTTCATTCTTCTTTCTTTTTCAACTTCTTTTTTTAAATAACGAGAATGGAAAATAGTTTGCTAACCTTTTATATATATATATATATATATATATATATATATATATATATATATATATATATATATATATATATATACATACATACATACATACATACATACATACATACATACATACATACATACATACATACATACATACATACATACATACATACATACATACATACATACATAAAGTATATGTATATATACATATGTATTTATATAAAAAACATAGTTTATGCACACATATTATATGTGTGTGTGTGTATAAACTATGTATTTTTATATAAATAAAATTTGGGAATGTTTTACTTGTTATCTCAAAATTGCATCTTAATTTTCTTTCTTACTTAAAATTTTAGTGTTTTAGATATTTTATCCAAAAAATTTAATTAAATTGCACAATTATTTATATATTAGTATTTACAGTTAAAGATATAATTAAGCAAAATTTAAAAATATGAAATGTTTTTAACAATATCTTAAAATATTTTAAAATCTGCAACAAATAAAACAATGTTTTCTAGATCTGATAGCAATATATGTGGGATCACACTCTCTATTTTCTGAAACCATCTGCGTGCACTTCAATTGCAGGATATATGATCGCCTATGGAATCAATTAGAGTTAATTGGAAATGAGCAAGTTGTGCTGATGTAGGAGTCACTGCATACTCTATATGTAGATACATTCATACGTAATGAAAAAGAGATAAAAGTATAAATTTTCTTTTTAGAAAAAAATTTTTTTTTATTGAAGTTCTAACAAAGTAATGTGAAAAAAAAATTTAAGAAGAAAAAAGATATTTTAAAACAGTTTCTAGTTAATGCCAAGTAATCCATAAGATTTAACTAATAAATCTTGAACAATAAATCTTTAACTGATGAAAAGTATTACAAGTAGCATTTCTTCACAGCAAAATCTTAAATCTTAGTCCATGTTTTAAGACATTTAGTTCTTTAAACAAGAAATATTTATCTTGTTTAAGAAATAAATTTCTTATCCCCCAATTTGTTTCTTAAAACAAGAAATATATTACTTGTTTTAAGAAATAAATTACAGTGTAGGAAATTTTTTTCTTGCTTTAAGATTTACAGCAATATTGTTAATCTAGTGTTTATAGTTTAAGAAATATATTTCTTGTTTTAAGAAATAAATTGCAGGATAGGAAGTTTATTTCTTAAAACAAGCAATATATTTTTTGTTTTAAGAATTGGATGTCTTAAACTCCGGACAAAGATTTACAATTTTGTTGTATTCATATTTTCATTTGTATTCGTGATTTTGCTGTATTTATATTTTCATTTGTATTTTCACTCATTTGTACTAAAGCATTTATATTTGTGTTGTTAGGTATATGGTTGGCTATAATATGGAAAGTTTAAAAAGTTAAAATCCACAAAGCATAAAGTATAAATATGGAATCTGGAAGCACTGAAAAAGCATTGTATTGAATCTGGATACTATGTAGAGAGAAAAATAGTAAATGTATTTATATATATATATATAAAAATGTAATAATAATATTTATATTTTAATAAAAAGTTAAAGAATTCGTTTAATTTTTTTAAACTAATTTTTATTATATTATATTAATAATGTTTTTATTGTTATTTTTAAACTGATAATTTTGCTTGTGGTCTACCATTTAATGAATTTATTTATGGTCCATCATATCAAGAACACAAGATACGATCATAATGTTAATAGACTACTGGTGTTGGTTCTAAGGTAAAAACAAATTTTTCAAAGCAGCTAAAGTTTATATTATAAGCATATAAAATGTTTGAAAAATGCTTATGCAAAAGCTTATACAATAATATGTAAGCTTAGAAAAATTTAAAAAGAAAGAATAAGCTTATGCAAAAAGTGAAAGAAGGCTCACAATATATGCTTATCTTTCTTAATTTCACAAATTTTAATTTATAATCTATGTCATGATTATGTAATTTATTTTGTGCTTAGAGATATGTTTGACTATAATCAAGAGAATGCATTTTTTTTTTGAAATTTGTTGATACTCTCTTGCTTTGTAGAATAGAAACGCTTGATTTTTATTAATTGTTTTTGAATGTTCTACAAATGCATTGAAAAAGTTATTTACTTTATCGCTGTTTTTGGGAAAAAAGTAAAATGATATTCATTTTCCGAGGCAATATAGTTAGACTTCTATTTTTGTTTATTTTTTTTTTAATCCTGACATCATTTGCTTTTATGCCCACCAAAAGTTTCTCTGGATCAGCTACATACTCGATGTATTTAAGGACGGTTTTTTAACTTTTCTTTTATATTTAAACATATTTATTCGCCATTTCAATAGAACAAAAGAATTATTTCAAGTTATGCGGTTCATATCTGGTACTCATTCTATATCTATATAAAAACAACAATTGCCTATACAATTTTGAAAATAATAAAAAAAGTTAGCTGTCCGAACCCATAAAACGGGTCACGTTTAGTCTGCTCCTCGCCAATCATTTTTATATTTATTCTGTATATGGCCTTTTAATTTCAATAATTTTGAGTAAACGGTAGAAAACAATCGGTTTAAAAATCTTAGCGTTAAATTTCTCTTGGTGCTTTTTGAAATTTAAAGTTTTGCATAAAGAATACCCTCCCCTCCTCTCCCCCTCAGACACGCACAGACCATTTTTATACTTGTTATTCTAAGTCTATTTTAATAGGTTTTAGTTAATGGTAATATTACAGCTTCAACTTAAATTCAAGTTCGACGATTAAAATAATTACGCATAAAATAAGGAAATATCAAGTAAAATGAACAAATTATATATCTTCATAACAATAAATAAATAATACCTGAAAAATATTTTTTTTTTAACAAATTAACAAAAATTTACAAGTTACATCATATGATAAAATACATCATATGATAAATCTAAAATAAAAAAGTAATGGAATTATGATATAATATAATAGAAAAATAGTATTAAACACATATGATCTTTTATAATAGATATAACTTGTAAACACATATAACAATTATAAACATATTATATGACAAATATAACTATCAAAAACTATGAAAAAAGTAAAAATAATAACTAAAAAAATACAACAACGCAATCTACAACATGCGTTCGCAATCTACAAACAATACATACAACATGCGTTCGCAATCTACAAACAATACATACAACATGCGTTCGCAATCTACAAACAATAAATTTTCTAATCGAAAAATCTAAAGACTATAAATAAATAACATTAGAAAATATATAAATATTTGTAAAACAATTTCCACCAACCATATCTTAAAAGGAATGTTTATCAATTTTGAAAAACCAACTAAATGTTTTTTGAATTTTCTAAACATGCAACATATAGTTGACCATAAGAAAAACAGTTTTTATCAGATATACACCAACTCTATCAAATGACAACGTTTTAGAACAAAAGGTAAACTAGAATCTGATGAGGCCAAGTTGTCTATCAATACTTAATTCGAGGAATAAATACCCGTTTTGTACCAGAAACACCTACTTTTAGTAATTTCGTTTTAGTGGCATTTTATATCCCAGGTTCATGATCTAAATTTCTGAGTGACATAGCTACACAGCCAATTTTCAATTTTAAACAATAAAGAAGCATCCCTGAAGGAGTTAAGCTGCTCAAAAATTCAACTAGAAAGTTATTTTTTTTCGCTAAGGTTATCAGTCATAATTTGATCAGCATTTAAATATGTTTTGACATCTCTTTGTTTCATTTCTTCATAGATTGATAATGAAGCTAAATTAGTAGCTATTAAAATCAAAACTTGAAAAAATAATGGGTCTTCACAGAATAAATGTAATCTTTTTGCGCATTTTTTTAGAAGTTGTTTTATAATTTTTTATCCTCAGATAATGCAAACTTTTGTTCAATCTGGTTTGAAAAGGTTTTGCTTTTATTTATTAAATTCTGCTTATCATTCTTGTTTGTTATTTTATTTATAACATTAATTGATCTTTTTAATTATTCTTTAGTATGGTACAAACATTTTTAATATCACATTGTTTCTGCATACTTAACAATTGACAAGCAAATATTTTTTTTTGAAGTAATTTACTAATTAAGATTTAACCAATTTATTTCGGAAAAAGTATTTATTACAATATTCTTAACTAATTTATTTTTTCCAGGCATTTTCGTATGAAGAAAAATTTTAGAAAAATTTATGATGATTGAGATTATACTTTCATATGCTTTTCTTTTATCTGCTTTTTTTTTTTTTCCGTTAAAATTAAAAAAAACTGCTAACTTTATGAAGCTTCAAGTAAATGATTAGATCTTTTTACTTTTTACTTTTTGGCAATTGACATAATTCTATTCTATAATATTTTGATATCAAATTTAATGCTGCTGTTTCTGCTGCTGCCTTTTTTTCATTCGATCGTGTTTGAACAAACTATACGCTTCCACATTTTTTTAAATTACAAAATAAAAACATTTTTGAAGTTCAATAGATATTTTTACTTTTACAAAGTTTTGCAGATTAGTGTTACTTAGTTGCCAGAGCGGTTAGCTCGCTGCGCTACAATGTGAGAGTTCAAATCATGTCGCTTGCACATTAGTATAATCATTATAATAATGATTTTTATTTTTTAAATTTTTCTTGATTTTTTTAAAATACAAAATAAAATATTTTTAAAGTTCTGTTGATGTTATATACATAACATATATAAAGATATCATATACTATAACAAACAAAAGGGAGAGAGTTTTTAAAAAATCTTAAAATTTTAATAAACATCAAAACAGCGGTAAAAATTTTTGCGCATTTTTCACGATAGATAGTTAAGATGTTACTGTGCTTAGGTAATTAGTCTACGCGTTCAATACACATCAAAGAGACAACTTTTTTTTTATAGGAAAAAAGATTTAACATACCGTCAATCGGGGTGACTCCAGAAAGCGGAGTGACTCCGGACAGAGCATTACTTATTACTCTACTTCAGTTTCTTTTAGTGATGGCGCGAAACTATAAGCGAAAACTAAACTTAAAAGTGTTGGATGGGACAAGCTTCTAAGAAGATATAGGAAAAAGCTATAGAAGATCACAGTAAAGGCATGAGTATTCGAAAAGCTGCTGAAAAGCATAAAGTCAAAAAATCAACATTGCATGATCACATTAGAAAACCCACCTTAAAGAAGGTTGGAGGCCAGAAAATTATAAGCAAAGCAGATGAGGTACTCATCGCTCAAATGCTAGAAGCTGTTGCTGATTGGCTTTCATATTGGAGGATTAGAAGTCAGAATGATGGCTTTTGATTTCCTCAAAAATTGTAATGGGTCAAACTGTTTTAATTTGCAGATACCTGTAAACGACTGGTTAAATTCTTTTATGAAACGAAACAATATTTCTGGCAGAAATGCTTCTCATATTAAACGATCGAGATCAAAGAAGTAGAAATGATAAATAATTTTTTTGATGAATTTGAAAAAACTTATCAATCTCTTGGTGATATTCAACCTTCAAACATATTTAACTTCGATGAGACAAACCTTTCAGATAATCCTGTAAAAAAGTTTGTTTTACATTGAAGAGGAAGACGACGCGTGGAAAACTTTCAAGAACATAGTAAAACTTCTATATCTCTTTTGTGTTGAGGCTCTGCTTCAGGAGTACTACAACCACCTATGGTAGTTTATAGAGCGTCGAACAATTATAAAGATTGGGTAACAGGAGGGCCACAGGGAACAATATACGGTTGCACAAAATCAGGTTGGTTTGATTTGGAGACGTTTGCCAAGTGGTTTGAAAAATGCTTCTTGCCGAACGTTCAACTTTTAAATTGACCCAAACTTCTTTTAGGAGATAACTTGGCCTCTCATTTTAATCCAGACGTTGTTGAACTTGCTTAGGAGCATAATGTTTACTTTGCTATGTTGCCACTAAATGCCACATATTTAATGCAGTCATTAGATGTATCTGTCTTTGGTCCAATGAAGCATTGTTGGAAACATGTACTATATGAGTGGAGAAAACAAAGCAGAAAAACTGGATGCTTTCCCAAAAAACATTTTCCAGCTCTATTAAAAAGTTTTTCACTTAAGTTGCAAGACACAGTATGTCAGAATTTGGTTTCTGGCTTTATTACATGCGGGCTTTATCCAATAAACCGTGCAATGGTTTTAAAAAGAATTTCTGAATACAAGGAACCTGGTGCATCAACAGCATTCATTTTTAACGATTCGGTTACAACTTTGCTAATGTCTCATCGTGGTGCACGTGAAACAAAAAAGCCCAGGGGCAATAAGTTAAACATTGCATCTGGGGCAGTTTTAATTGTCGTTGAAGATATTGAAACTGATTTTTGTTTCATCTGTGGAAAAGAATAATGACAAAAACAGTAAAATCAGCGAAGAAGAAGAGGAAGTTTTAATTGATTTAATTTAAGTTTTAATTGGACTGGTTGTGAACATTGTGGTCGTAGGTATCATTCAAAGTGTTTGGAAAATGCCATGTCGACTGATGGCATTGTATGCCCAAAACTATAAATGTTTTTGAATTTTTTAAAAGGCAAAGATTTGTATATGATTTACTTCTACAACTGTCAATAATTTAAACAAAATAAGAAAGATTAGTAATTGATTCTTCATAATTAATCATTGTAGTTGTATCATTAACTATATGTATATTTGAAATTGATTATCAATTGTTGTTGTTTTTTGTTTTGTTTTTTTGAAATGAAAAATTAATTGCTTAATTAAAAATTAAAAAATTTTAGTTAAGCAGCTTTTTTATACAGTTGTACATTCATTTTAAAACTCTTGATGCTGAAATTTCAACTTTTAAAATCTCAAACTTCAATTGTCCGAAGTCGCCCCATTTTCCGATTTTGATTTTTTGATTTTAAAACCGTTTTTTTTATGCTAACAACATATTGGATTTAATAATGTTCAATACTTTATAAATTTTTATTGTAAAATAAGTATTAAATTAAACAAACAACATATAAAATTTGTTTGTTTAATTTAATACTTATTTTACAATA